AACTTAATAGTTCATTGAAAAATGACTCGTTTATCCGGACGGTAATTTTTCAAGAAACGACTTTTTCACACTTCGCTTGCAAACGTGTTAATTGTTGTAAAAACAATGGCCATGCAGTCAGTTTGAAGACGGTTACCTGTGACCTACAAACAATAGCATCTATTATTAGCATGTTTACCCTAATTCAATCACACGTTTATCTTTAATATTTAGCTTACACTGTGCATTAATTAAATAATAATCTGTTCAAAATCATATTGCTAACCGTATGTACATCGGTAAATTCAGGAGAATTTTGGAGAGTTGTAAATAAAATGAACAAATAATTAAATAACGAGCGATTTCGTAATGCTCTTTATCATGTTGATTGCGTTAGTTTAAAATACTGTTTTCCATTTCTAAAAACGTAAACATACGTACATAAGTGAAGAAATATCTCTATTTAATGTACTACCGTTTACAAACGTCCATTGCTTTAGAAAAGATAATTATATAAAACTGGCGTTACGTACAGAAGTTGATTACGTTTATCAAGGTATTTTTTAATGATCGAAATTCAAACTTAGCGTTTGTAGAAAAAAAATATGGATAATCATGAAGATGGCTTGTGTTTACGAGTGATTTTAATACTTTGAGTAAGCTTGCAGTTAATTTTATAGTAACCCTGTGTAATGAATATACGGGGAATATACAGGGTTAGTTTATATTTGAACATTTTTAATGATGATGCTGAACAGTTCTGTCATATCATATGAGCTTCAATAATTATAATATATGGCTAAATAAAACAACTGTAGATCAAAATTTGCTCAGCCCTTGAAGTCACAGGCCAAAGAGAAGGCGAATTAAAATAGGTCTCAGCATAAAATTGCCCATCCATTTTTTTTATTGTGTAAATTACATTTTAATATATTTTTTTCTTAAATCAATTACTGCTTTTAAAACAATAAACCAAAATATAATTTAAAAGTTTTTTTTCTTTGCTGTCACATTTGAAACAAGAATGTGCATATATACAATGTACATACTTAGAGAGTGCTTTTTGAGATGTGATTCAATTATCCGGACGATTCATTTATCCGGACGATTTCGTTGGGGACAGAGGCGTCCGGATAAACGAGGCGCCACTGTACCAAATTTCTAAATGCAGTCAGACTGATGATGAATACAACCGAATTTTGGCCACAAATTGATTACGTCTTAAATTAACAATTCTGCATTAATTACTATGCAAAATTGTTAATTTATGAAGTAATCATTTTTTGGTCAAAGTTTTGTTGTATTCATCATTAGTGTGACTGTAGCAAGAAATTTGGTACTCACCATGTTGCGCCGTTCGGCCGTTTGGCCACAAAATGCAAGTAATGCAAAAAGTAGGTAAAAATAGCTACTTTGGGTAGGTTTAAATAGCTACATAGGTAGAAATAGTCTTTGGACTGGACCTGATTATACCAGGGGCTTGTTCAACAGTGGACATGTGCATGCAAAAGTTGTATTATGGGAGTTATGAGTGTTTTCTGGCAATCGCTTGTGTCAATTAAGTCTTCATGAAAATTCATGAACATTCATTACCTTGAACTAAACGTTTTTTTCTGTTTTTAAACTTAGTTTTCAGAAAATTACTTATATTCATATATATTCATCATTTGTTCATGAACTACATTTTATGAATATATTCATGAATAAAATTCATGAACCATCTTTATGAACCAGTCATGAATACATCATGAATTCTCATGAACGATTCATCAAAGTTCCTGAAATTATGAATTTCATGTCGCAGGGGTAGGTGCCTCTTTCAGAATTGTGAATTTCATGGCCTCTGGTTCAAAACACAAACCAAATGTTACATGATACATGTAACGTACATGCATATAAATACATGCATATACATATTTTGATGAATGGTTTTATAATAATACTAAAATTAAAAAAAAAATTATGTGAAATTCTTTTGAAAGGCTACTACTTGTACAGTTATAGTCAGATTGCAATAAAACTTACCACACAAAGAGACAAAACATTGCAATGAAGGATTATTTTAGCTCACCTGAGCTGAAAATTCAAGTGGGCTTTTCTGATTTCTTTGTCTTATGTCTATCTGTAAACTTTTCACATTTTTGACATCTTCTCTAGAACCTCTGAGCCAAATTCAACAAAGCTTACCACAAAACATCCTGAGGTGACAGGGATTTAAATTTGTTTAATTGAAGGGCCACACCATCTTTCAAGGGGAGATAATGAAGAATTAGTGAAAATTATTGGCATCTTTTAAGACATCTTCTCAAGGAACATTAGGCCAAAAAAAAAATTCAAACATTCAAAGTGTTAGTTCAAGTTCGTTCAAATTATGACCTCTTGCAGGTAGGATGGGTCACAGTTGGGGATGGATAAAAGTTTTCCATATGAATATATCATCTTCGCTAGCCAAGGGTTTCTGATACGCTACTCTCCTCATAAACCCTTGGCATACTGTGCTGACAAAAGACGGGATTGATTTTGTCACGTGATCATGTTTCTTACCAGGTACGCACAGATTGCGTCATCGACAGAAATAAAAAGCGTATTTAAAAAAATTTTGTTTTTATAGAATAATTAACAAGAAGGTATCGAGTTATGTTAATTTTTATTTAAACATGTAAAAATGCAAATCTACATCTTCAGTATAGATTCTTAATCACATATTTTGCACGTAGCTTTAGATATTGGATGACACCATATAGCTATTCATAGAATGGCATGTTATCTTACGGATCATTGTTTACTTGTGTTTTACATTACCGATATTAAAGAGTCAAGATATATCCCGAACGCAAATATCGTCATTTACAAAAAACAATTGCTGATTGGTCAAACGATGTTGATCAACTCTAATCACAACTTGAGAAAAAAATCCCAACTTTTTTTAACACCGTATGACAAGGGCTTATGAGGAGAGTATTGATCAGAAACCCTTGGCTAGCAAAGATGATGAATATATAGGAAAAAATCTTCTCCAGAACAGCAAAGCCATGGTTAGTCATATTGATATGGAAGCATCCTCAGGTAGTGAAGAATCAAGTTTGTTCAATTTATGATCCTCTGGATAGGATGTGGCAATAGTCAGGAATAAAAGTTTTACACAGGAATATATGGTTAAAAAATCTTCTGCTCAAGAACAGCAAAGATGTGATTAGTCACATTGATATAAAAGCATCCTCATGTTCAAATCTTGACCCCCCAGGGTTTGGGTTGGACCATAATTAGAGATCAAAGTATGACATGGGAACATATTGGAAAAAATCTTTTAAACATTTTCTTGAGAACAGCAAAACCATGATAAGTCATATAGATATGGAAGTATTGAAAGTAGTGAAAATTCAGGTTTGTTCAAATCATGACCTCTGGGTGGGGCCACAACAAGGGGAAATGTTTTGCATAGGAATATGTGTTTAAATATCTTCTCAAGAACAGCAAGACCGTCGGTCCACTTAAAATTTAAACACTGTATTTAAAAACACAGTAAAATTCCTTTTTTCCTAAAAATCGACATCCGTAAATCAAACGATTCATTCATCCAAACTTGTTACAAGAAATGAATATGGTAATATTTGTTTTAATCAGGAGAACCTAGTGACTAATTATGTATTTTACATATAATATTGATGACTACAATAACAATAACATTGAGATGCAAGAACATTCAACACGGACCTTGAAAAAGAAGCATGTAAAATTCGTGCCCGATTAGTCAGTCAGTCCTTTGTTTGTTTAATGCACAGAAAGGTGTGAAAATGTGCACTGGGTAATAGGAAATCACTTCACACCTGAACGCACACTGATGGCCAGGTCTAGAGATAATTAGAATTGATTTACAGCTGTATTTATATATGCATTGTTTATATTTTAGATCTTCAAACAGGTGTGATTTATATTTTATGAATACATTACATGTATCTGCAGTTCCTGTTTTTTTTTCTGCTATACATAATATCACATAAAAGAATCATATGATCGCAGTTTATTTGAATGAATAATAATTAAAAATAATAATAAATAAATACATATAAATAATAAATAAACACATATACTTTTGTTTTGCATCGTAGTAAAAAAAAATTTAGCCATAGATACATGAAAAATTCACTTGTTTATATGAACAATTAGGATTTAACTTTTATCTACCGTTGGAAGCGAAATAAATGCAGGTTTTTACCATTGTTTGAAGATATAGATTGTGTTCTTTTTTTAATTATTGAAAATATGTTTAACAATATTGTTGAAAACTCCTGACTAATTGATTTGATTCTGTTGACTGGTTAACTTATACTTTATTAGTCTGACTGGACTGGGTACATAAGTTAGTTTCAAGCCTTGTGTAATGAATTCATTCATTAATTCAAACATTTATGAAGGTCCCCCAGAATTTAAGAATGTCCACCAATAATTTTTGACTATAGTGGACCTGCGGTCCACCAAGGTAAAAAAGTTAGTGTTGAACCCTGCATTTGTGATTAATCATGTAAATATAGAAGCATTCTCAGTAATGTAGATTCAAGTTTGTTCAAATTATGATCATCATGGTAGGATGGGATCATAAGAGGAATAGAAGTTTTACATAGGAATTTATGATAGAAAATATCTGCTGATGAAGAACAGCAGGGCTATATTGATTTTGGTGAGTATTGTGGCCAATGGGCCTCTTGTCTTAGTTTCAAGTCCAAGTGCTTTGTCATAAGTAATTCTTATCAGAGACTTCTGGTTGAATTTTAACATACCTTCCTCTATCAATTTATTTTGCTTTATTATAAAATTATCAAGTTGCCATTCCATGGATCATTTATGGGGTTGTATTATACTTGTGTGACTTTAAAGTCTGTCAGCCTCTGGTTCTGTAAAAGGATATTTTCATTAAAGTATATGAAAATGTCTTAAAAGATTAATGAGATAAAAACAGAAGTTCAAATTCTTCATGGTTTATGTATAAAAATGTGATCTGTTCATATGGTATATTGTTATAGGGTAATACAGCCATACACTATGCAGTGTCCCATAGTAACTATGACATAGTGAGTTTACTGCTGGATACAGGTGCAATTGATCTGAGCAAACAGAACAAAGCAGGATATACTGCCACCATGTTGGCTACATTGGCTTACCCACAGACAGACAGACAACAGGATGTTATCCAGAGACTTTTTTCAATGGGAGATGTCAATGCCAAGGCTTCCAAGGTAATACTGTATGAGATGAAGAGAATGTTTGAATAATCATTCACTCAATATCTTATTGACTGTATTGTGGCTTCCAAGGTACTTTTAAATTAATGTGGAATGGAAAGCATGTTTGAATAATAATACATCCATATTCTGTAGGCTGTATTATGGTTTAGTGTTTTCTTTCTACCAATTTGTTTAAACTAAGCATTTTTGTTTTCAAATCATAAACATTGCAAGATCTGAAATTATCAAACCTATAGTTATCTGAAGAGTTGAACATATTTTATTGATAAAGAGTCAAAAGGATCAGACACAAGTTCAGAAACTTAAACTTAAATAGTCTTCTCCTAATGCAACATTTTGTAAATTGCCAAAATATAAATACATGTACATCTGTTCTCTGATATATCTTTGTGGTTGGGTGTGTTGCAATCTGAAAGAAAGTGATTCTAACTGTTTTAGCTCACCTGAACTATACCTTAGATGAGCTTTTCTCATCACCTGCAGGTCATGACACAGCACTTTTTAGTATATGGGCAGGTCCATTGAGATTAAGAAAATGTCTACAAAATATGATACACTGGACTCAGGGTTTAACAAAGGTGCTTTGGGCATCAAGTATCCTTGGGTTAAGGGGATTTAGATTAGTTGAAATGAAGAGTCACACTCTTTTTAAAGGGGAGATGTCTTGAAAAGACATAATTAAGTTGGTGTCCTATGATAATGTATCATACACCACTGGGTCAGAAAAGATAAAACTTTTGTGAAAACTTTCTGTAATTTTGTTCAAATCAAAAAGAAAAGATTTTTTTTAATCTTCTAAAAAAAAACCCATCATCTTGATTAGTCATATGAAGATGCAAGCATTCTCAAGAAGTGCCGATTCAAGTTTGTTCACAACTTGACCCCTGGAGGTAGGATGGGGCCACAATGGGCAATCAAACTTTTACAGAAGAAAACATAGGGAAAAACTTAAAATCTTCCTCTTAAAAACCAATGGGCCAGAAAAGAGGAAACATGTAAAATATTCCTGATATAGTGTAGATTGAAGTTTGTGCAAATCATGATAGGATGGCACCACAATAGAGGAAGAATGTATAGAGGAAAAATCTTGAAAATTTCATCAAGGACAGCAGGGCCAATATTATTTACATAAGTGTACCTTATTTTCTTAAGTACTCTTGAGTCCTTACCAAAGTATTAATTTTCATCATACAAGCCCAGAGTTTCACATCCAGGTTGGAGTTAACTGATCATAGTGTGAGAAACTCTTTTTCTCTTGTTGAGTAAGTCAAAATAATGTGGTGCCCAATTCAATCTGATAGTGTGTGAATACTATTAACAGCACAAGTTTTACAACCATGTGTTTCCTAGGATGGACAGACAGCACTCATGTTAGCTGTTAGCCAGGGTAGGAAGGAGATGGTTCAGATGTTGTTAGATGTTGGTGCTAATGTGAACGCCCAAGACAATGAAGGCTCCACAGCGGTGATGTGTGCATGTGAACATGGTCATACAGATATTGTCAAAATTCTGCTGGCTCACCCAGATTGTGATGCCACTATAGCTGATAATGTAAGAGTTACACATATCATTTAGTGGGATATTATACATATCCCTTTAATGCTTCCTATGTTTAAATTAAGTCAGTCAATTGATCTTCATCTGCACCAGGTCACATGTTGTATACTTCTTGCATTTTACCAAAAATTTGCCTCAAAGTATCCTTGATTATGTTTAATATATAAAGACTAAAAGTCTAACTTTGTCACCCTCAATTTTTAAGTTTGACCTTATGACATGTTTTACAAATGTTTCACTTGAAAGTTCTGAATTTTGTTTGAATTAAGTATTTAGCAAAAGTTGATGTTTTTGATATGTTTTAGCGATCTTACTTTAAGAATTTAAAATCAGGGAAGGTATAGCTGATCAAAGTCTTTCAACTTTTTCTAATTGAAAACATTAAAATTGGTATCTGTGTGGATAACTCTGTATGTTTAAAAATTGCAACCCTAACTAAATAAGATTTACTTTATTTTGAAATCCAGATTAATTCTTTTTAATTAATATAAGTTTTAAAAATTGCCTGCCTTTTTGGCTTAATTTTTTTTCTGTGGGAGGAGTAAAATGTATTTCTTCTAAGATATTTTTTAAAAGTTTGAATAAAGAATAGCATTGTCAAATCGGACAATTTTTAGTAACCGGTTACTCACTTTTCCGATCGAGTACCCAGTTACTCGGAGATTTTTTTTTTTTACATTACACCTGAACATTTGAAAACATCCTTGCTCATGATATACATTTACTATAGTAACTGTAATAAATGTAACTTCTTTACAATTTAGCTTATCTTTTATTTCAATTATAAACACAGATCTTTGATATAAATAGATTTTGTTCTCGAATGTCACTGGAAAAAGTGCAGTTTGTTCAAGAAAATACTCCATTATAGCTGACTGTTTGCCTGCTTTTAATATGATTCCATTTAACATATTTACACTGCACAGATATAAAATCAGCCTTTCTTTGAAAATATCTCAATGAGTTTGATGTTTTGAGTGTCATTTTGGTTTATAGGTATAATTAATGAGGTTGGTAATCAAGGCCCGTAATTAATTACACTGTGAAAACGAATCAAAACAAATCGATCGTATTTAGAAAATGTGAGACTGAGACTAACAGTTAATAAAATTGGTGACATGTTGGTATACCGTATTTGGCTGAATATAATATGCATTGGTGTAAAATACGCACCCCCGTTTTTTTGGCTTCAAAATTTGGGAAAAAACACAGTTTGGTTGTATTATACGCTGTCAAAAAATTGACCAGGCAGTAATGTTGTCTTTTTTACATCGCGGTAATTTTAACTTAAAATCTTTGTGGGAATAATGTATTGAAAATATAAGCACGGTAACTTTTCGTATGCGGACTTTGTTTTCAGAGCTTACGGTACTTCTGAATTTAAGCATGGCAGTATTATTCATGGAAATAATAAATTTTGCATTATAAATCATTTTTTAAGCTTACGGCAACATTGTCTTAAAAAATTGCGGTATAATTTTATTAATTTTAACAAAGCACAAAATGTCCCATTAAACGGTGCTGTTAAATCTTCGTGTGATAATGATTTTATTCAAGAAAGCACGAAATATTATTGCATTTTTAGGTCACCTGAGTCACTCAGGTGACCTATTACTATCCGTTTTTGTCCGTCGTCGTGCGATGTGCGTTAACATTTGAACATTTTTAGCTTCTTCTCCGAAACCGCTCAACCAATTTCAACTAAATTTGGCATATAGCATCTATGGGTGAAGGGGAACAAAAATTGTGAATTTCATGGTCCCTGCCCCCCTGGGGCCTGAGGGGTGGGGCTAAAACCACCAAAATTAATGAAATTTTTAAAAATCTTCTTCTTTACTCCTGGACATCAAGCAGTCAAACTGTTGGCATCATTGTAATAAGCATTGAGTCCTCTACCAAAATTGTGAAATTCATGGCTCCAGGGTCAGGGGTTCTGGTGCTAGGGCGGGGCTATATAGATCATATAATGAAAGTGCATTATTTCTTTGAAAATCTTCTTCTCTGCTCCTGGGTATTAAATAAACTAACTAAGTATATAGTTATGATGAGTAAGAGTGACTCTTCCAAAATTGTGAAATTCATGGCCCCAGGGGCAGGGGTTCTGGTGCTAGGGCGGGGCTCTATTGATTATATAGTGAAAATGCATTAGTTCTTTGGAAATCTTCTTCTCTGCTCCTGGGTATTAAATAAACTAACTAAGTATATAGTAATGATGAGTAAGAGTACCTCTTCCAAAATTGTGAAATTCATGGCCCCAGGGGCAGGGGTTCTGGTGTTAGGGCGGGGCTCTATTGATTATATAGTGAAAATGCATTAATTCATTGAAAATCTTCTTCTCTGCTCCTGGGTATTAAATAAACTAACTAAGTATATAGTTATAATGAGTTAGAGTGCCTCTTCAAAAAATTGTAAATTTCATGGCCCCAGGGGCAGGGGTTCTGGTGTTAGGGCAGGGCTCTATTGATTATATAGTGAAAATGCATTAATCCTTTGAAAATCTTCTTCTCTGCTCCTGGGTATTAAATTCAGTAACTAAGTACATAGTTATGATGAGCAAGAGTGCCTCTTTTAAAATTGTGAATTTCATGGCCCCTGGGTCAGGGGTTCTGGTGTTAGGGCAGGGCTCTATTGATTATATAGTGAAAATGCATTAATCCTCTGAAAATCTTCTTCTCTACTCCTGGGTATTATTGAAACACATTAAATACATAGTTATGATAATCAAGGATGCCTCTTTCATAATTGTGAAATTTGTGGCCCCTGGATCAGGGGTTCTGGTGTTAGGGCGGGGCTCTATTGATTATAAAGTGAAAATGTTTTAATTCTTTAAAAATCTTTTTCTCTGCACCTGGGTATTATTTAAACAAACTAAGTACATTGTTATGATAAGCAAGGATGCCTCTTCCAAAATTGTGAAATTCATGGCCCCGGGGACAGGAGTTCTGGTGCTAGGGCGGGGCTATATAGATCCTATAGTGAAGGTGAATTATTTTTTTGATAATCTTCTTCTCTGCCCCTGGGTATTGCTTAAACAGGCTAAAGTACATTGTTATGATACACAAGGATGCCTCTTCCAAAATTGTGAATTTTATGACCCCAGGTTTAAGGGTTCTGGTGAAGGGAGGGGGGGGGGGGCTTCTATTGATTATAAAGTGAAAAAGCAAAATTTCTTTGAAAATATTCTTTTCTTCTTCTGGTTAAAAAAGCAAAGAAGCTAAGTGTATAGTTATGATGAGCAAGTGTGCTTCTTCCAGAGTAGTGAATTTCATGACCCCTGGGTCAGATGTGCTGGTGTGAGGGTGGGGCTCTTGATAATTTAGTGAAAATGCATTAATTCTATTAAATAATCCTGTTTGCTCCTTAGTGTTAAGAAGATAAACAAAGTGATGATGAGCAAACATATGGTCCCAGGGTCAGAAACTCTGGTGTTTGGGGGGGGGGGGGGCTCTATTGATAATATAGTGAATCTGTAGTAAAAATGCATTATTTATTTAAAAATCTTCTCCACACCTGGGCATATCTGAGGCAAACAGAGTAAAGTTTTTATAAGGAAGGGAATTTTTACCAGATTTTTGAACTTCTGGACCATTTGGTCAAGTGTTCTGGTCCTGGCCAGGGCTCTATTAGTTTGTATTCTACTGAGAGGAGTTATTCCCCTTTGCCATTTACTTTTGATAATTTATCACTGTAAATAATGTACTTGAAAGGTAATTAGAATAAGAGAATTATGCAAAAACTTTTATTGTATAATACAAAAAGTACTTTCATAGTTTTAATGATCAGATAGACTTGTAAGTAGTAGATAAATAAAAATGAGACAAGAATAACTTGTCTTATTAAATATTCATCAAAGACCAAGAGATGCCAATGTAAGAGATTTCAACAAAGGATTAAAATAGTACAGAAGCATTGATAATTTGTTAATATACTGTATAGTGATAGTGATAAATGGGGAACAGATTAGAACCTAATTTATTAACTGTTAATGAATATTAAGACCAATTATTTTGTTGATCATGATCACCCTATTTTTCTTGCTTTTGGGCAACAAAGCTTCACCTTTCAGTTCATTTTATACTCTATGCATCCTTGAAATTGTTTTATTATACTCAGGTGACCGTTAAGGCCCTTGGGCCTCTTGTATTTTATTTTTAGCTAACAGCAATCGTGGCATTACACGTTGTCTTTATCCTTAATAGTTTTATTTCAACAAAGCACGAAATACTGTTAAATTTTAGTTTGAACAGATCGACACGGTATAAATCATGTCTTTGTACATCTAGGTAAACTTCGCAGATGTCTTATTTTCTACAGAGCACGAGTTACTATAACACTTAAGTTTTAACAGATTCCATATTTGTCCATTTTACACTCTTAATTAATTTAACAAGAGGCCGATAAATATAAGGTAATTAAAATAAAATTATATTTAACAAGTGTTTAACTGTTTTATGTGTCATAATCAACACAAGTTCATACGAAAGATAATGTACGAAGGCTGAAAATCGACCCCTGAATTTTAACAAAGAAAACGATCAAAGCCAATAATAAGGGCAGTAAATAATCAGTGCTCTAACTGTAAAAACAATGCTAAGGAGTTGGTAGACAATCTATTTGCCTGGAGGGACATGTTGAGATCAAGTGACAAGCGCACGTGTTCACAACATTGGCTTCGGTTGGGACATATAGTATACAGTGGTATTCATGGTATAGTAGGGTGTTTATGTTGAAATGAATTTTCACCGCGTTATTTAAAACCCAAAATGAATGTTGATTTATTGTATTTCATTATAAAATTGCTCAATTATTTTTTTTTTTCCCAACCGAGTGTCTGATAAGGTACATGTGTACTTTGGTTACGCAAGCACGTGGCGAAGGAATGTGTGATCATCTATAAACAAGCATTCTGAGAGTATTGCGTTAGCAATACTTTTCCCCTACTGGCAAGTGTAATCTGGTTCCCTTTAAAAATTGAAAATGCCATAATTCCGTCAAAAATCAATAAGCAGAATGAAATTCAAACTTGATCTGTAACTCATCAAGGTTAAGTCACATACCAAAAATCAGCTCAATATCTGAAAGCGTTTAGAAAAAAAATGCGGAAAACCCTGAAAAATTGAAAAGGCCGTAATTCTGTCAAAAATCAATGAAGTGGAACGAAATGAAAACTTGATCTGTAACTCATCAAGATACACTCACATACCAAAAATCAGCTCAATATCTACAAGCGTTTAGGAAAAAAGTGTGGAAAACCAAGTGGGACAGACTGACAGACAGACGGACGGACAGACTCAGAGGAAACCTATAGTCCCCTCCGGTTTCACCGGTAGGGGACTAATAACATTGTCAATGGCGGCCTACATGGAGACGATGAATATGCAGCTCAAATTAATTGTAACTTGTTTTTAATATCACTTAACAACAGATTATCATTATCAAAAGATTATAAATATAACATTTTCAACAAGCCTACGTTCCAACAATAATTTTCCGAGGTTTTAAATACAGCGATAAACAACATGAAATTGCCCATGTCTCTAGGTAATACTACGATATGTCCATATGATAGCCATGTTTCACCTGAAAGAAAAACTATCAAAATCCTATTGTGGTGTAAAATACGCACCCCTTTCTCACAAAAACATTTTCTAGGAAAAAAGTGTGTATTCAACCAAATACGGTACATTTAACAACAGAATATTTTTATTCTTATATACACATTGAAATATCTGTATATCCGAGTAACCGAGTAGCAGTTTTATTAATCAATACTTGCATCGTTCAACAGTTAACCAGGTACTCGTTGACAACACTCATAAAAAATAAGAATGAGAAAAATTTCCCTCCAAAGAAATGAAATAAGTTTTTAAAAACTCTTAAAAGAGTGTTTGTTTGTATGTTGTTTAATGTCCCTTTTCGAGAATTTTTCACTCATTTGGATCTTAAAAGAGTGAAATTCAATTATTTTGTCTTTGTATTTACATTCCAATGCATCCCTCAGGTCTTAGTTTTCAAGGCTTTAAGCGATTATATTGTAAAAATTGCTATTGTAGACAAAAATTCTGTCTCTTGGAGCCCTCTAATTTGGTCAAATATGACTGCCATCAGAAAACAATCAGCTTTTACATCACCCTTAAATAATCCATGAATACTGATCTTTTATGGTAGATTTTATCATATTTACTTAATTGCATGCTAAAATATTTATCACAGCATGTTTCTATTTTTTCACAATTGGACATACCAAGCAAGATATATGTTTAGTGCAATTGCCCCCCCCCCCCCCCCCCCCCCTTTCAACCTTCTTTTTATAAAAAAAAAATATTGGAAAATTTACTTTTTTTTGAAACAAAATGATTTCCTTTTTTGTTGTCTTTATTAGTTTTCTGGAATAATGACATCCAGAATGTTCAAAAATCATCAAAATTTTGTCCATTTATACAGAAATTTTGGCATAAATTATGGAAGGGGTAACATCCCCAACACCCCCAGAAACCAGGTGACGGGCAGGTACACAGCTGAAGAGATTCAGCGCTGTTATAACCAGCACACAATATATATAAAGGATCTAGAGCCCATGATATGTGACTTGATATGATTTTAATCCAAGTTGTTTGTTTTGTATCTAGGAGTCATTGACAAGGAGATAAAGAACATGCACAAGTTGAATAACAATCATATCCAATCACAAAACAAGGGAGATTCTTAATTTTTATCACATGTTTTTACATAATTTTAATGTTTTTGAAAAAAATTATTACTCCGTTTGTTTTTCTCATCAGATGTCTCATGTTATAATAATTAACATCATCAATTTTTTGCTGCTTAAAGTACTGTATAAGGAAATAGGCCCATAGGAAGCAATTTCAGGTTACTTTTGAGTGGTGGTGTGGGTTGACAACTAAACAGAAATTCCTTAACAAGCAAAGAATAGGTCAATAAACTTTACTGAAGGGACATCACAATAATTTGCTTTGTTTTCTTTTGTATGGTATAATACAATTTATCCTGCAACTACCCCTTGCATTGACCTAATAAAGGTAACCTAATAAACCAAAGCTTTATTTGGTCAATGCCCTAATAAAGCCCCGTGCATGTATTCCGACATTCTAAAGGCATTGTGATGTCATATATATTGCAATGTTTACGCCATGGCGTCTTAGTTTCAACTGCAGAGATGTACCTGACTCGGTTGAAAAATAGCTCGTTTTAAAGGTCTGATTTAAAAATATATTGCAGGATAAACAAAATACATGGATGCTGTCTTAAAATATAAGTGATATTTGGGCTCTGGTCGAAAACGTGATAGAGGGCTCGGCAAGCCTCGCCCTCTATCTCGTTTTCTTACCCTCGCCCAAATATCGCTTATATTTCAGGACAGTGACCATGTATTTTATATGTATTAGCAGAATTATTGGATAGGGGACATTACCCCCCCCCCCCCAACCTCTCCACTTGTATACTAAATTGGTCAGGAAGATATATAAACATGTGATAATGAGTTGTATATTATGCAATTTTATGTTGTATATGCATGTTGTATTCCTGTAGGAAAACTGCACTCCCCTGAAAATAGCCATGGATGCAGGCCATAAAGATATTGGGGTCCTGTTGTATGCTCATCTCAATTTCAAACAAACACAAGTGAATCTTGTAAGTCAGGTTATTATTACAAGTCATGACATTTCAGTGGAGTTTATGTAAAGTTTCATAGATTATTCAAATTAATTTTAGCTTGCATTTCTTTATTGCTTTTACTGGTGCTTGTGAATGTTGTTTATTATTTTCCACATATTAATCATTATTTCTGTATAGTTGTACATTGTTTAATACTGAAAAGAGCATTTACTAGGTGAAAACACATTAGATATAATTTGGACTGTATGTTTTTCTTGATAATCTATACACAAATTGTGTCAAATTTCTAATTTACTGATACTTCTTCCAAAATGGTAAATATTTAAAACTATTTTTCATTATTTCGAATAGTGTACAGCCTATGATCTAAAATGCAAAAATATCTTTGATAGAACTGTAACTTACATGTAAATTTATAAAGCGCAGTTTGTATCTTTCAGAAAGAGGTTTTGTGTGTGTTTGTATGTGTCAAGAAACAACATTTATTACATATACTGTAGACAAATTTAATTATGTTGTGAAAAAAAATTGTTTTTGAATTGAAAATGCATGATTTCTTGCATTAATTTTAAATGCTTTTCAGCAATTTCAATTGAAAATTACATAAGATTTGGCGTATCAAGTAAAAATAATGGTACCTACTGTTGACATGTCAAGTATAAATAATGCCACCTACTGTTGATATATCAAGTAAAAATAATGCCACCTACTTTTGACAAATGCCACCTACAGTTAACACTGTTATTTCATTATTTATCAGCCATGTGCTGATAGTTGGATGAAGCAACACTACCATTATCATTGTCTGTTTACAAACTAATTCATATAGAATTGATTTTATTTAGTTTTGGTCTTCATGATTTTTTAACACAAGCCATCTTGTTGAAAATTCAATAGATAGTTTTCAGTATAGGCCCAAATTAGCAAGAATTATTTCCCATTGGCCGCCATATTGGAGGTCAACATGCTCATATTCCTTCATAATTCAACCAAAATTAACTTTTTATACTGGCCATTGTGGGGTAGGAAGCATTGTTTTTCTGAAAAATATGGGTGAATTAAAAAAAAAATGACCAAACGCATATTTATCAACCCACACTAAAAATACATGCAATGAAAATAGATTTCTATGTCTCAGCATATGTCTTTAGATAGTGTCTAAATACCTGCCAAATATCTCGTTGATATCTCAATTAACAGAAAAGTTATGCCCAAAAATGATGCTAAAATTGTCAGGAGTGCAACACCTTTTTGTGACATTTTTAAATTTCAATATTTTTTGGAGATCTGTGAAATAAAAAATAATGCTTCATGTTGAAAATAAAGACTTTCCTGATAATATTCAAAGTATTGAGCTTTAAATGTGGACTGTCATAACTTTTGTTTACTCAAGTTGTGGTCATGGCTGATGTTTAAAAAAATGTTATACCATGTCAGGAGTGCAACAGAAAAAATGTAATGTTGCCAAAAAAAACATCAATTGTAAAATTCTCATAGAAAATTAAGACAAAAAAGAATTTTGGAAGTGTAAAATAATAACTGATATACAATTTAAAACTTAAAAATGTAATATAAATCACAAGCAGCATTAATGAGAGTCAAGTATATGTGCATACCCAAAAATGTCAGGAGTGCAAAATTTGATGTTTTGCTCCCAAGCATGAAAAAACTATTATCATTATATGACTTTCTGATTTTTATTTTGGAAAATAAAGACACTAAGAACATTTTTACCAAATAGATCTATCAATTACAGGATCTGTCTGTGCTTCAGATCCATATTTCTATGGTCAGGAGTGCAACACATTTTTTTAAAGATTCAAGTTGTGTGTCGAAAAGACTTCTATTCATGCTTAGAAGTATTCATTAATTAATAATGATCTTTTTGTATAATTTAATGCTAAATTATTGACAGTTTTATTATTAAAATCCTTCCTTTTTCAATTTTATCAATTCAGATGTGTTTTTATCTTTTTTGTGATTTTTTAATGAACATTAAAAATAAACACACTAAAACATTGTCATTAAATTCAAGTAATTCCTCCTCAACTTCACTGAAACAACAGAACAAGTTCTTATGTAATTTTCACTTCACAATTCTACTTTAAAGGCCCCGATGCTTTTGGTCAGGAGTGCAACAAATATGTTAGAATTATGAATCATCCAATAAGAATAAAAATAAAGAAAAAATGATGAGTAGAATTTTTCTGGTGGGTTACTGTGTTTGTCTTCTAAAGGAAAATATGCTTTAAAATATATTTTATCTTCTAAATATACATTTAAGCTAGTTTTATTGGCATAAAATAGGGTATAATTCCAGATAAAATGTGAATTTTAAATACTTTCATCTGTTTAGTTATGAAGTATTGGACTATAAGTATTGCACAATTTCATTACCACTTGATGTTGCCAACACTTTATGAATTTTTGTGTTCTATGGTTTTAATTTTAAACTTTACTGCAGTCAGGAGTGCAACAAAACTGGTCCATAATTACCGATGCTTTTTAACTATCTTTACTAAAAAATAAGTTGAAAAAAAAATGCTTGATACTATTTGATGTTCAAAACACTATGTCTATCAACAAATTACAGAAATTTTACAGTCAATTCAGGGAAAAGTTTTCATCATTTCACATATATTTTAAATACAATTTATATATGTTACACTTTGCAAATAATCATGTTTTAAGGTCTTCAAAATATGAAAAACCTGCTGTAAACGATGAAAAATATCAACACCACAAATTGATTTACAAAGTAAGAATGGGTTATTGTGTGTTATAATTTTTAAAACATGTCAGAAGTGCTTCACAATAATGTAACATAGGGTCACTTCAAAATCTAGTATTTTTTGTAAGAGAACTCGTATATAACAATTCTTTTTTGGCCTAGATTTAAAGAATTGACTTGAATGGACAAAAAAGTGAACTTTGGGGAATTTTATTGCTTCATATTTTTTTCATATTAAAACTTTTCAAACCAGAATTGAAAAAATAATGTAAAATAACAATCAAAAAGCCAATTTTTTGTCACATGTACAAGAGAAGATACTCATTCAAGGTCTAGATTTAATCATTAATACCCCTTTTACCATTTTGAAGCATAAAAAACTATAATTTCTTGTGATTATGTATTTTAGAAAGTCTTTCAAGGTGTAATGATATTTTCTTTTTTTGAAAAGAAATTTTACTAATAAAAATTCTGAAACTTTTTAATCCAATTGTCTATTCCATTGCCACTTCAGGATTTTAAACTAGAATGCATTTGCAATATAATGATATAAGTGAAAAATATGTTATAAGTAGTTGAATTTTGCCAAAAAAATTCAGTTTGGTGGTCATTTTTTTTTATTCACCCATATACATTTGTTAAAGCCTCCTTTATTTCATTATTTTAATTCTATAAAGATTTTTCCCCAAATATTTCTGCTACATCCTCTTAGATTTGGTAGGACAAAGAGGAAAAATTACCAGGTTGACCACCAAGATGGCGGCCAAGGGAAATAACTTGGAGAGAAAATACGTCATATGAAAACTATCTATTATAGTTGTCCTTATTTCTTCTGTAAATAACCACTGAATGCCCACCTGTTGATCTCCCAATTAAAATTAGTAATAGTATTATCAAGTAGCATTTATGAGGGCTGTTTGATATGTAATGTGTATTGTACCACTTTGAACGTGATAACGCTTTGCACACTTTCGTGGATGATGATACTCTTGAATAGCTCTATTCAATACCTTTCCAACAGTATAAAATGAGCCTTAGTTCCACATAGTTTTAAACTTATAGTCATCTCAATAGAGCCAGTCATTGACCACTGTTGTAAAAATGGTTGGGAAAGGGGTTGAGAATATTGAAGAAATTAGAGCTTATATAAATTTAGTACTTAGTGATGAAACATGGGTTCACTATTTCGAACCAGTAAGAAAAATTGGAAACAAAGTATGGCTAACTAAACACAGTTAAGAAGGCCTGTAGTTGCCAAAAGATTCATAAGCACTGAGAAGGTTTTTTATTGCATATTCTTCTCATGTGATGGTATAGCCATACAAAGTCCGGTGCAAAAGTGTTACAGGTCAGTATTACCGAGATGTACTAAAAAAGCTTGAGAAATATCATAAATGACGCCATGTGGCTGGATTTAGGCATGTTCATCTACTTAATGACAAGGCTCCATCGCATGCATCTGAGCTTGTGAGGCAATTTTTAGGTCACCTGAGTCACTCGGGTGACCTATTGCTATCTGTTTTCGTCCATCACCGTATGTCGTCTATCGGTCGTAAACTTTTGAACACTTTTTAGCTTCTTCTCTGGAACCAATTTCAACCAATTTTGGCAAATAGCATCTATGGGTGAAGGGGAGTAAAAATTGTGAAATTCTTAGCCCCTGCCCCCCTGGGGCCTGAGGGGTGGGGCTAAAACCATCAAAATTAATGCAATGTTTAAAAATCTTCTTCTTTACTCCTGGACATCAAGCAGTCAAACTGTTGGCATCATTGTAATAAGCATTAAGCTCTCTACCAAAATTGTGAAATTCATGGCCCCAGGGTCAGGGGTTCTGGTGCTAGGGTGGGGCTCTAATGATTATATCGTGAAAATGCATTAATTCTTTAAAAATCTTCTTCTCTGCTCCTGGGTATTCAGCCGATAAACTAAGTACATAGTTATGATGAGGAAGAGTGCCTCTTCCAAAATTGTGAATTTCATGGCCCCTGGGTCAGGGGTTCTGGTGTTAGGGCGGGGCTCGAATGATTATATAGTGAAAATGCATTAATTCTTTAAAAATCATCTTCTCTGCTCCTGGGTATTAAGCCGCTGACCTAAGTACACAGTTATGATGAGGAAGAGTGCCTTTTCCAAACTTGTGAAATTCATGGCCCCTTGGTCAGGGCTTGTGGTGTTAGGGTGGGGCTCTAATGATTATGTAGTGAAAATGCATTAATTCTTTGAAAATTTTCTCCTCTGCTCCTGGATATTAAGTGGATGAACTTAGTACACAGTTATGATGAGG